ATTCTTTTTAGCTGTCTAATTTAAATTTAAATGGTTTTTTTTTTGTTTTATTACAAGTTTTCCATTTTTACGATTTTTATTATTATTATTTTTTTTTCTTAATTTTTCTATTTTGCAAATTTATCTTTTTTATTTCTTTAATTTTTGTTTACTTTTGCAATAACATTTTTCTGTGACAATTTAATGATAATATCAAATTATAAAAGTTGTTTAATACTTTTGGCCCACTTTTGCTAAAAAAAAATTTTTTTAAAATTGAGTTCATTTTTGTTTCATTTTGGAGACAATTTATTCTCTTTGAATTTTTTAATTATTGCAAAATCTTAAATATGCTAATCGTGAATTGAATTCAAATAAAAAAAATGTAGTTTTTAAATTATTAATTTGTGTATGTGTGTGTTTAAATTTTGTTTTTCTTAATTTCTTGTTAACTGGCTCTCATTTGTATCCAAAATGTCTATTTTATTTTTTATTTTCATTATTTGATTTATGTACATAATACGTTTTAATTTTTTGAAATCTGAGCTCTAAAGTGAACTACATTTCTACAATATTTGTACTCGTATGTATGTATATATTTATGTAGCAAAACTTAAACACATTTTCACACCTACTTTAATACTAACAAAAATTGTGACAACATTCGTCGAGTCGTTCGTCGTTCAATTAAAAAACTTAATAAATGTAAACTTAAAAAGTTTTGTCAACCCTACTATCTGCATACTATATATACGGGATAATTAGATAATGGAAGCGGACGAGAAACCAGGTTCTAGACAAATTTATTTGAAAAATTTTTTTTTCAGGTCAACTCTGCAAAAAATATTTCCAAATTTGTTTTTTTTTTTCTATTTCATTTCATATTAGCGTACCAAAATTTTTCTCTTAAAAACAAAATTACACTTGATAGATCGAATGACATTTAAAAATGAAGAGGAAATAACTAGGTATAGGGAAGAATATTTAGGTTGGACGTCTTCAATACGCAATAGGCATTAAGTTGCCACTAGTATTGTTGACAAAATCAAAAAAAAACAAAATTAGAAACAATTGCCGCATTTGAAAAATTCACGGCAGACGAAATTTTAACTTTGACAATTTATATAGCAACAATAATAGTTGTGAGCCACCTCTAGTAAATTATTACTGTTATATAAAATTAATCAGCTTCATTTTTTTTTTATTCATTTTTTTTTTCGAATAATCAAAATAAACCTTGAAATTCCATATATGGAATTCAAATTGTTTCAAATTAAATTAGCTCATATTTAAAATATTTTATAATCAAATAAATTAAAATGAAAAATATTTAAAATTTTTTGCAATATTTAAATTAAAAAAAAAAAAACAAATAATGACAGGGAAAATAATAGTTTTATTTTTCTCTCTAACTTTTCAACACACATACCTACAATGAAAGTATTTGAACAGCTGCTGTCAAATGATCTTTTCTCTCTGCTATGCACTGTTTTTTTTAAATAATTCAAAATTTATTTAAAAAAGTTGACAAAAAACGTTCTTAAAATAACAATCTTTTATCTTTCTTTTCATAAACAAAGTAGTTTTTTTTTATTTAATAAAGAGAAAATATTTATTTATTTTTTTTTTTAAATTAAAAATTCAATATTTACGTTATAGAAAAGAAAACAAAATTCTTTCAACATTTTCAAAATATTTTCAAAAAATTTAAGTAAAAAAAAAACTAATTGAAAACATTGTTATATTGTGTACGTCAGAGCATATGGTCTCTAAATTCTTTTCTATTCTTTTTTTTTCATATAGAATATTATTAATATTATTTTTTAATCATTCTTTAATAATTTTTATTTCAGATTTCATCATTAAATCAACAAAAGGATCTACAATCAACAATACAATCTACAACTACAATATTTATTAGTGATCTTAGAGAGAAGAGAAGAGAAAAGAAATAGAATAATTCTCTTCTCTTATAAAAAGAGAAGAGAAAACAAAATTTAAATATTTTTTTATTTAAATATTAATGAATCACTTATAAAAATATTATATAAGAAGAAAATATGAAAATTATTTTCAAATAAAAAAAGTGAAAATAAAAATTAAATGAATATTTACGCAGCGCGCACAAAAAAGTATTAAATTCATTGATAAAAAATTTAAAGTGAAAAGAATTAATTAAAAAAAAAAGAAAATTATTACTAGTGCTTTAATTATAACAGAAAAATTTTAAAATAATCGAAAAAATTTTTGTCATTAATTATTTAGTTTTTTATTCAATAAAATCGATTTTTTTATTCAATAATTAAACGAATTTCTTATTATTATACTTAGAACTTTATCAATTTTATATTCTTTAATAATCCTCTTTTATTTTGTGTAATTTTTCAATTTTACAACAATTTAATTGTTATATTAATTGTATTACAAATTTTAATAATAATACTTTAATTATACATTTATTTAATTACATTTAATAATCACATATTTTTTGTTATACGATTAATAATTAATACTATCATAATCGCTTATTATATTATTAATGTTTTCATAAAAAAAAAATTTTCATTTTTCAAAAATTTAATTAGTTTTTTAATAATTTTATATACATATGTATACTTAATCAATATTATTTTACGATTAAAATTGATTCTAATCAAATATTGAATAATTATTTAAAAAAATAAATTGATAAAAATCATAATATATTAGTTTATAAATCACAATTCACAATCTCATTTAATTACAAAAAAAAAAATCTTAATAAAATATAACAATATATAGCTAAATAAAAATAAAATAATTTTACATACACATAAACATTTTAAAATTATCTCGTAAATTTACTGTAGTATAATAACATTATAATAACAGCACATTTTATAATAAATGTAAGCATTCTTATAATCTTGCTATTCGTAAATAATTATTATTATTATATAATCGTTCTCATATATCATAGATGAGCACAAAATACGCATATAAATGTATGCAATACATATATAACGCAAAATTGTACACACTAACTCACATCTATACATTTAATAATAACGAGCAAAATAATAAAAACAAAAAATAATAAGAAAACCGATTTTTATTTATTTTAACGGTTATTTAAATATTAATCGAAAATAAAAATATTGTTTTTTATATTTATTTTTATTATTCTTATGTATATTTTTTTTTATTGATAACAAATCAATATACAAATACAGTTGAACGTGGATAAAATAAACTCCATATAGGGATTTTAGTTCCATTTACATAATATATATAACAATTTTCATTTGAGGTATTAGGGTAATTCCGGGTTTTATCGGCGCGCCTTCACTATTTTATTTTAAAATTCAAGTTAAAGAGGTAATTCTAAGAATGTTGTGTGGATAAAAATTAACAAAATTCAAAACTTTATTTACATTTCTAGAGTAAAACAAAGTTGTACTCATATAGAAAATAAAATTTAAGGGATCAAAAAACTAATTTCAATAAAAGAGATATCCAGTTTTATGGAAGTACATTTTGTTCAGATTCGACTGTATACATTTAAGTTCATCATACTTCAACTTATATGTGTGAGCATACATACATATACATATATTTGTACGCAAAGGGTAATGTGAGTGCTTTCAAAAAAGCTGCTTCGAAATTTTGAATTTTATAAACTTTGTTTTCCGATCGATTAGAAAAGTTGGCATATAGTACTCGTATTTACATACATACTATATGCCAGCATATATTAACAAGTAAATTATTTAAAATTCTAATTCACCCTATGGATAAGTATGTTTTTCAATTTAATAAACATAAAAAAATTACCTTAAAATTTTCAATACACACATACATATTATATATATGTACATAATGTGCATACACATATAATAATTTTCTTAGATACTACTAGCGTTTATCATCGTTTTTCCCATTATGTTCTTCATTTTTATATGTTTATATATATATATGTTCTCAATTGTATAATAAAAATTTTACTATTCGTTTTCCGTTTTATTGATAATATGAAAGTACTATATTAAACAAGCGCACATATGTACATATATATCACATTGTACATATGTACATACAAAGATTTGTGAATACCAATATTCAATAAAGGTATATTATTGAAATTGCCATATTGTACGACCATATACCTGTTTTAATTTAAGATTTAATATATTTCAATTATAAAAAAAGTATTCAATATTTTCGATAATTTCCGTTGTATAATAAAAATTTCGATTAAAATTTTTCAATCAATTTTCACTTTCAAATTGTGTTTTATATAGTACTTAATACTCAAGTACATACATAGGTATGTACTTACTATATAGGAGCATATTATTGTTATACGTACTTATATGTAAGTATTATATAAGCGAAATGTTCCTAATAGAACGTTCGTAATTTTGATACGCAATAATATTGACAACAGTTTTTTTTTTGTTCACTGCTCTTTTCCGACGTTTAATAACGACCCGGCAACTCCGAATAACTATAACCCGGCAACTCCGAATATGTATGTTTGTAATTATAATGTATATAAATTTTTCTGCAAATTTAAATCTAATATTTCTTAATTAATTATAAAAATCAAAAAATTCAAAAAGAATTGATTCTCAAACAAAAGTAAGAGAAAAATTCCATATTTATTTTTTGTATTTAATCAACTGAATCGTCTATGTTATGCCGTTATTCTTAAATTCCAAAAATCATTTTTAAATTGAATTAAATTTAATTTTAATTTGTTTGCTTTTTTTGTTTTTAGTTTTCTCTTTATTTTAATGTTGGAATTTTCGGAATGTGAAAAATTCGCACATTCACAAAACAAAAACAAAACACAAAAGAATTCCTAAAAAAAATTTACACCATCATTCAAAATTTATAACAAAATTCTAATACAAAAATAAAGCAATTTAACAAAAAACAAAAAAATCATCATCACTCATAAGTCATCAGACCATTATTCTGTGCTTTATTATTTCATCAAAATTTAATTTTTAATCAAATAAAAAAAAAATAAAAATATTTTGCAAAAAATTTTCAGGATAGAAACAAGAATTTAAAAAAAAGAAGGGCTAAAATTTCAACAATTTTTTTTTTTTTTATTAAAATATCTTGAATAAATTAAATACAAACAAAATTTACATAAAATCAAACAAATAACGTTTATGCTATATTGAAACGCCATATTTTAAATTTTTAATGCAAGTGTATAAAAAATAATCCAGAATATAAATGTAATTAGTAAATATTTTAACACAAATACAAAATAAATAAAAATATACTACAATATAATTGGAAGACTTTATAAAATTTCGGAGCAAAATTGGAATTAAATTATTAATTATATAGTGATTTAATCATAAAATGTCTACAAAAATGGCAATGATAATAAAAACAACATCAATATTTCATATATTATTAGTTTTACCGTTATTATATTTAATATTAATCAACGGTAACAGTTTAGTGACTGCATCACGTAAGTAATATTTTTCTTGTTTTTATTTTGTACTAAAATTATGAAAATTAAATTTTATTTAGTATAAAAGAATTTAAGGAATTGTTTTATATAATTAAATGAAAAAATTATTCATAGTATGACAGAATGCAGTGTTACACTACAAATTATGACATTTCTGATAGTCAAATTGTCAAAATGTTGCTGGAATAATGCTAATGTCAAATATTTCTAATTTTTTTAAATCATATGTTTTTATGTATGGGAATTTAATATTATTAACACACCTTATTATATTCTTAATTTTTTATTAGAATTTGACGTTTTAAATGCTCCATTTTGGCAAGTGACATTATCGTCAACAGCTATCAATTAAAATTTTAGTGAAATTTCTTTAATTAATTGTAGTTTCTCACTATTTAGATTGAATTATAATTTTGTAATTTAAATATTAATGTATCATAAATTTCCGATTATAATTGTAGGTTACAATTAAGCGAATTAAGCGGCATCACTTTTCTTTTTATCTCACAGTCTCTTTGTATGAGTAGTTTCGATATCATTTTCAGATTAGATTTGGATTTTTTTTTTAGGGGGGATTTTAAAACATAATTTTCAAATATTTTTCTATTTATCATTCATAGTCAATCGAATTTAATTAACATGAATAATATTTAGACATTTTGTATAGTTATTGAAATCACCATATTAACATATGATTTAAAATCTGGTAACCCTTGAATTATAATAAAATACTCGTACATATGTATTTGTATTTAAATCGTCATACAATATATATTTAAATTTAGGGGGGATTAGCTTTTGATTTACAACAAAGATATTATTATATTTTATTTTAAATACGTCTGTGATATATGATACATACCATAATCATCATAAACTATTAATTAAATAAATGGACGCGTAATTTAAATATTTTTGAAAAAAAAATAAAAAAATGTAAATATTTCAAATTATAAATTTGTTGTAGCCATAAAAATCTCAAAACTATTAATTTTAATTAGAATGCATAAATTATTCGAAATTCCCTCCATTTTTTTTTTCCTCCATTAAACTTATGCTTAATCCAAATCTCCAGTAATATATATTTGAAATAAAAAAAAAAGTAAAATAAGAGAATTGTTATTAATTTTATTCTAATTTCTGAAATATTTTCTGGTATGTATTTGAAATTCATTGAATTTTTTTAAAAAATTATGCATATACTCACTAATATATATAAAAAATTTTTAATCGATTCAAACCAAGCTAAAAGTTCTATAATCTTATAATGAAAAAAAAATGTCATAAATCTTAATAAAAAATCATAAATTTACAATTTTTTTTGGAATAATTAAAATATTCGAAAACAGCAAGAAAATTTTGCTGCAAAATCTTTTTGGTGCTTAAACTATCAGGTCGTATTCAATTGGAACAGGTTGTTTATTAATTTATCAGACCGTATCCAAACATGGACTTCATTTCAAATTATATTTGCTTTTAAATACCATTAATTTTTGACATATTCATAAAAAAATTGCATAAAAGTTAGGCGTCTCAGGTGAACTACTCTCTGACGCTCAAGTGACGCTCTGAACGACCGCATAATACTTTCAAAATCTCTCGATCATTTTAATTATACGAAAAATTGACAGAAATTTCTAACTAGCTGAGTAGCTGAATATGTAAATTTTGGCAAATAAGAGTATCAAAAATATAAAATTTAATACTTTTTCTTGCTCCACTTTCTCTAACTTCAAAAATGCTCTCTCTTCAACTCATGTTTGACAGAAAGAATTATATTTTGTTCAATAGAATTAACGAAAACGAGGCAGCAAATTTCTTACATTCTCGAATTTTCACAATTTTTTTAAGAATTTCAAATAGCATCCGAGCATATTTTTTATACTAAACTGTGAAAGAAAATCTTCAAAACTTACAAAACAGGTAAAAATTTTTTTCGAAAATATGAAAAAATAAAAATTTATTTAAGAGATAAATTTTCAAGGTTCTTTCCGAGAATTTAGACCATTAATCGTAAAATAACCTTAAGCTCTTGAATATTTTAATAAGATAAAAAAAAATCTCTAAAATTATCACAAAAAAATTAAATTCATTTGGTCTATTTGCTTATATTAGAACACACAGAAAAAACAAAACAAGCGGTAAAGTCTTAAGTATTAAACAAAAAAATTGAGATAAGGTAAAAAACACTTCTACGTATTTTTGGTTGCTTTAAACTTAATGTTGTTCGTAATGTGTTACTAATTCCAACTAATTTAATTCTATACTTATACGAGGTATCACATTTATAAACGGGGTTTATTTAAATCCAAAATAAAACCTCTTTATCTTCTTTAAATAGATGTTAGAAGATAAACCATAAACGGGATCCGATGAAATTAAATCATTTATCAAAATGAAACTAACAAAATTAATTGGATTTTATTTAAGTAGAGAGGGTATAACCAATTTTGGATGACAAGAGTCAATAACTTAAGATTTTATTATTACAATATAAATTTGGGTATGCGTGTTTTGTTCTCTTTTTTTTAAACCAATTAAATTTAATATTTTTGATAAAAAAAAATATTATTTAGGCGGAATCATAAGTAGTTTTTTAGTAAGTATTTAGTTTTTTTGTTATTAAATTTATTTTACTATTTTTTTAAAAATGGTAGTTAAATTAAAAGGTGCTTTTAATATTGAAAAATTTCATATATGTATTTAATATATTGTTTATGGTTAATTAAAAATTTAATTATTCCTATATTCGATGACCAATTAAATTGTAATAAAATTTTTTAAATGGTTTTTATAACCGAGATTTTATAAGCTTTTGTAGTATAACAATTAAAAAAAGAATTTTTAATTTTATATTTCTTTTAAATGCTGGAATATTTTATCAAAATACTGCAAATATTTTGGCTTTAAAATTTAAAATTTATTTAATTAATTATTAATTAATGAAATAATAAATAGTTAAAAAAAAGTTATACAATTCAATTTTTAATATGTATACTATTTATACGAATTTAAATGGTATAACAGTAAATATACTTTTAGGTGCAAAAAGTATAATAGATAGGGCCCGCTACAATAACATAATTAACAAAATCAATAGCTAGTTATAATAAAAACCCTCTATAAATACAAATATTTTACAATTTCCGTGACTGATAGTTAATAAAATAGTTTAAACACCATTTTATTTTTAGAAGATACGTTCAAGATGTTTCACAATATTAACTGTAATACTGTTATACCAATATACATGTAATTTTACACGATAAAAGAATGTGCAAAATGTGTTATTCCTGAATTAATTGCAGCCTTGCCTTTTGAAAGCGCACTGTTATACTCATTTCTGATAAAAGCAATATAACACTTATTTAATAATAATTTTACGATAGCTATTGTACTATAACCTCTTGTAGTACAAAGATTTTGCAATTCCCGTTACTGAGAATTAATAAAGTAGTTTAAACACCATTTTATTTTTATAAGACACATTCAAGATGTTTAACGATAATAGCTGTAATACTGTTATACCAACACGTATAATTTTATACGATAACGGAATGTGCACAATGTGTTATTCCTGGATTCCTGGATTTTGCCTTGCTTTTTGAAATTATTGATAGCAGTAAATCACTTATTTAATAAGTGTTATATTGCTACTATTGATTAAAAAAATGAATAAGAGCAATATAACACTTATTTAACAATACTTTTACGATTACTATTATACATACATATATGAATTTTATTCAAAAACAAATCCAATATGTAATAAAAATGAACATTCTTAAAATATTATACAATTTTTGTCTTAAATCGATAATAAATTAAATACATTTATAGAAGTAAGTAGCTAATACAAGCTAATTTAAGTTACTATGTACATGCAAGTTTAAGCTACGCGTACTACATGCAACACTTATTGTATTTTTAAATTAAAATTTACGACAGTAATTAAACTAATTCCAAAAGTAATTTTCAATTACTTTTAAAATTGAAAATAATTGAAACGTGAAAATATTAAAATTATTTTTTTTTTTGTGCACGACATTGATATTACTTACAAATTAATGCTTGCATAATAACTACTGTTATAACATTAAAAATTATTATACCTAATATAAATATTGCCATAAAGGTTTAAACAAAAGAAACAGCAAAATTAAATTGAACATCTGGAAAATCAATTTTGTTTTAATAAATCTTTTGTTATTATTAAAATGATGTACGTTATATTAAATTTTTAAAAATAATTATTCAAAATAAAAATTTATATATTTTTTTTTTTATATTTTTATTTTCTATTATTATTTTCATAATATTTAATAATAATTAGAAGCAAGGTCAAAATATTGTAGGCGCATGACAGAAATTTTTAAAAAATTTGAAATTGGGGCACACGATCGCAATAATTATTATTGAAAGCAAATAAATAAAAGTTCAGAAAAAATATTGTATATATGTATATGAAATTGAAATAATAAAATGTAAATATAATGTCGATGGAAAAAAAAAATCTATATAACAATAAAACGTAAAAATAGAGAAAAATTAGTTTATTTTTTTCATGTTAGAATAGACAGAAAGACTTCAAAACACCTACACCTACATGCATCACCTAATTCAAGAAAAAAATTGTAAAAAATTTAAAAATGAACAGTGCTTTAAACAACAACGACAACGACGCGACATCAATATAAACTTATTAGATTTTTCTTATTCTGTTCTTATTCTTTTAATTTTTTTTTTTGGACATCTATTGTTAATTTTTAAAATGAAAAATTTTGTATAAAAATAACCCTAAAATTTGTTATAATTAAATTTTAAAAAAATATTTTTTTTTTAATTTTATATTTCATTCGAAATTTGGTCTAAGAACATTGTTTTGTCTCTTGAGAACTGCATGCGAACCGTTAACCGAAACATAATGTGATTCATTTTTATAATAATATTACAGTCTAAAAACAGCCTAAAGAAATTACCGTTTTTATACAAGAATA